GAGGGTGGTAGACGATCCTTTTCAAATCTGCAGTAAAACACATTCAGATCGTCAGCCAGTTGTTGATTCTCCGCAAACTGTGGGGGTGGTGTCTTGTACATGGTGATGTTCCTCAGACCAGTCCATACTGACGCTGGATCGTTTGCTGAAAGCTCTTTTCTCAGCTTTTCGGAGTAGTTTTTTTTAGCCACTCTGATCTCCTTTGTTAGTCTGTTCCTGGCCTGGTTATACAAGATTTTATCCCCACTTCTGTAAGCATCCTCTTTGGCGTGACGAAGCTGTTTGAGTTTCCTGTTTTGAAGTGTTGTGAAGCAACAAAATGGAAAGTTTCCAAGATCACAGCCCTTCTCTACCACCACTGTTACTCGTTAACGACAGAGGAAATGTCACTGCAAACAATGCACTTTAGACAGAAGCTTCTGCTTAATGATGAGCCAAACTCAACAGAGCTAGCCTATATTACAGTAATTATAGATATTGATATAAAAGTAATTATAGCTGTAGGTGTCCCAGTGCATAGCTCATACGTGAGCCTCATTGTCATTAGGGTTCAGGGAAATAGCTGGGAATTTTAAAAGTGTGATTTTCAGGCCTGTTCATGGAAATTAATAAGAAATATTAAAAGAATACAATCATAAAACTATTACAGTCTTATTAAATTGTATAAAATGTTAAAACGTTTTTGCGTGATTTTATAGTTAATACAATTTGTCTGGAGCGATTTAGCAGATTAAATAAAATAAACAATATAATGACAATATTAAATGCGTAATTGAATTTTGCAATAAATAAAAGTAGAAATTGCATTTTAATAGAAAATTATTACTTATCCATTATTAGTTAGTACTACTAAAAAAGTAAAAAAAAAAAATTGGGAACTCTGTCATTGCCAGAAGATTTATTGACCTATTGGAGAGTTTTAGCTGATTGGTGTTCAATTTTTCTGTCTACATTTCACTGCCTGAGTTTGGAGAGAAGACTTGACAGCTGGTCTTGTCAATGATAATTTGATGATTCAGCCTTAATTTATCTCCTAGATAGAGCTTCTCAGGCTTCCTTCCCTAATTTCAAGGGAAGTCATAAACGCACAAGTTTTCTAAAAACACAGGAAGGCTGATAGCGTTTTTATGTTTCTATTTTGCCTGAGGGAGTACGCAAGATACTAATTTGACTAACCATAAGCCTCACTTTATACCTCAGAGTGAAACACTCCAAAAGCAGAATGCTGAGCCATTAAGGCAGATTTCCTTATGGATCTGTGCGGAGCACAGCGGCTGTATTTGATGATCTGCTCTCGGATGCTTCCAGTGTCTTGGAAGGAGTTTTCAGTGCTTCAGTTCCTGAAGGAGTCACTGGAGCCCAACATAAATTTCCTCTAGGGTTTCCGCTTTTTGAAGTTCTGCAGTTTCTAAAGTCATATGACCTGACTCGAAGGTTTCTAAATGCTTACTTCCTGCGTTTATGAAGTTTTGCACTTTTTGAGGAATATCGCTGTGTGTATATGAAACTTAACACAGGAAGTTTAGCATTTCCTTTTCTCCAACGATGAGGAACCTCTTTGGAGGTCTATTGCTCCTGTTATGACTAAACAGAGAATATCAACATCATGACAGATCTCCAGACTGCTTTCTCGAGGAAGCTTTCATATTAAGCTTAAATAAATATGCTTGCCAATACAGAACGGGAGCCAATAATCGTTGCGGCCACTGTCATTTCAAATGCATTAATGACCAAATAATTCCACACAGCACTTTTTGGCACCTCCCATTCAAACATTATCGGTTTAGGTCTGTAATCTGTTTCAGCTGCACTAACCGGTTCTTCAGCCAAGTCTGGTTGTCTTTTACCAGAATGTGGTTCTTGGCTTCAGCCTTCAACTGTGGTTTAGTAGTTTATAACTTGCAGTACAAACAGTGATTCAAACGCTTTGTCATACATGCAATCATGCATTTCAAGAACACCTGTTACATCATTTCTAGTCTAATGTTGCGAGAGTAAAATAGCTGTCTTTTAAGATCCGTGTGTGTGTTTGTCAGAGGGCTGAACAGGGCGGGTTTTGTGATCTGGTTTGGAGAGTGTAGTCTGTCATGCCAGCTCCTCATGCTTTAGACAAACACACTCTTTGTGTCCTTTTCATCAGAGGGGATATAATCGTTTAAGCCATCTCCTCTGTTAGCACCGCTCACTTCACAGAGGGTGCAGGCCTAAAGCACAGAGCACAGCCAGAGAGTTAGAGATAGAAAGATGGATGAATGGCTCACATGGCTATTGATCAGTAACATAAGACTGAAATCAAATAGAGTTTCTCTTTTCTGGATCTTATCAGAATATTTACATTAAGAATATTGGAAAATATTGCAATATATTATATTACAGAATTAATTTTGAGTAAATACTGTGCAGTCATTAAATGAATGACTGATTTGTTTAGGCCTATATTTCAAATAATAATTTATCAAAATGTATTCGATTTGTTTATGATAGTTGTTAGTAGTCTTTAATGATAAGATTTCTTGAGAGTTCGTTATCATTATCTTTTTTTAAATATATCAATGTGGCACCTAATTCTGTTGTTTGTTTGTTTTCCGCTCATATTTTAATATTCATTTTTCTGTATAATGAGTGTGTTGCAGGCCTGTGTTTTATTGGTTGTTGTGTCCCCACTTTTCACCCTCTGCACTCTCATTTTTCCACAAATTTACACGCCCATTTCTTTTTCAAATCTGAGGTGTGAACAACCAGTGCTAAAATGGGGGTATTTAATATGATTTTTTAAAAATAAAGTATTTATTTAATATTCTTTTATTTAATATTCATTTAATATTGTTCATATTAGTCATTAAATGAACATTAATATGAAATAATTATATATATATATATATATATCCTTCAGAAATCATTCTAATATGCAGACTTGCTGCTCAAGAAACATTTCTTACTAATATCAATTTTGAAAACAGTTGTACTTTTACAGGATTCTTTGATGAATTGGAAGTTTAAAGAAACAGTATTGTCTTAAACAGTATATAATATTTTCTTTTGTTTTAGCAATGTTTATCAAAAACTGTTGTGCTGCCTAATATTTTGTGGAGACGGTCATACACTACCACTCACAATTTGGAGAAATGAAGATAAAGAAAGAAAGAAAGAAAGAGAAACTAGTACTTTTATTCTGCAAGGACACATTAATTTGATCAAAAGTGATAATAAAGAAATTCATAATGTTACAAAAGATTTTTATTTCAAATAAATGCTGTTCTTTTGAACTTTCTGTTCATCAAAGAAGCCTTAAAAAATTGTCTTCCACACAAATATTAAGCAGCAAAAGCTGTTTTCAGCATATTAGAATGGTTTCTGAAGGATTGTGTGACACTGAAGCCTGGACTAATGATGCTGAAAATTCAGATTTGCCATCAATTACATCAATTACATTTTAAAATATATTACTATAGAAAACTTTTATTTGAAATTGTAATAATATTTCACAATATTACTGTTTGTACTGTATTTCTGCTCAAATGAGTGTAAGTGGTGAGCGTAAGCGACACATTTTTTTAAAAACATTTTAAAATCTTAATTATTTAGGTGGAACCATGATCTGGAGAGTTAGAGATCCACTGAGATCCCACTACTGCTTTATTTTCATAGTGTTTTGTTCAATGAACTAAACACTTTTAAACCTTAGGCTGACCTGGGAGAATGTCCCAGCGATTACAATACTGTGAAATGCTCTGAATGAGCATCTGACAATGCATCTGACAGTGGCCTGTCTTCTTGTGTGTGTGTGTGTTCTGGAACTGAACTTGTGTAGAGAGTTTGAGACATAATTCCATCCTCACTGAGCTCCACAACATCTGATTTCACTTAGCAATAAAGCTGCTTTTATTGTTTCTCAGCGGTTCAGTAATTAATGGCTTCATATGTTAAGTGGCCAGCAACCAAGCAACGTGGTGAAAGGTTGTTTGCGTTTGAGTTTCCTGGCCATGGTTGTCTTTCTGTTTTTAGTGAAACTGTGAGAATTGATATAGAGAGTGTTTTTTGGGGGCTGGGCTGAAGCCAGAGACAGTATAAGGCGGAGGAGAAGGACCGCTTGAACACAAATGTCCCACTTTCAATTAATAAAGCCAATTGCCTTATTAGTAGAGGCGTTGTTTGATTGTTTACTCTGGAACAAAGTATGCACATTAGCTGGGGAGCATGATTTGAGCTACAAAAACAACATTTAAGATACGTTAATTGCCAACATTCCAGTTACTTGCATAGAAAATAGTTGCCCTGGCATGTGGACAGACCGGGTGGACGGCCTTTAAAGCTGCTAGCATGTGCAACCCATATGTTCAATCAGGCAATGTCTTACTATTGATTGATATTCTTCATAAGCAGCCATTTTTTCTGACCAAATAACAAAACCTACAAAAACTAATGTGGGTTTTTGATTGATTTCTTTATCATTTTGATGTTATTTCCAGAGTACTCGCTAGGTGTGCAGAAGTTCTCTCAGACCCTTCAGTCGTTCCAGTTCGATTTCATCGGTGACACTCTGACTGATGATGAGATAAACATTGGTGAGTCAACAGCAGCTCTTAACCTGATTGGAGTGGTGCTCAGTGTGTCCATTTCATTTATGTGATGTATTTGAATGATTTCACTTCTGTTCCGCTGAGTTTGTATGTGGAATGAGTGTGTTGGACTGTGCCTGCATATTTGTGTCAATCTCTGGCGGTAGTTTTTGTGCATGCATGTGTTTCATTTGTATGTGTTGCTTACATGACCACGTTTTACCTACACAGCTGAGTCATTTCGAGAGTTTGCTGGTTTGCTACAGGACGTGGAAGAGGGTCGAATGATGCTGGTTGGTGGAGTACATTTCCTCCCATACCCTTGTAAAACACTGTCAATCATAATCTAAACTCATATAACAACAGCACTTAAGATCCTCAGATATGTCAATCATTAACATTCCGCACGATTAGCCTTCTTGTGCTGAGTGCCAGTTAAACATGTTGTAGTTAATTTTATTGAGATGTTTGTGCCCTAAACTCTAGAACTCAAGCTTGATTATAAATCTTATCTGTTCTAACCATGTACAACAGGAAACTCCAGATGCAGGTAAAAAAATGACCTCTTCCTTCCTCAAAAGGTGTAGGACACATGCTTAAGTAATCATTTTATGAGAACAATACTCATGCACACTCATAATCCAGTGAAGTGCATGACGGGACTGAAAGAAATATTTGCTGCTACATGCAATTTTATTTATTCCCACAAGTTCCACATCTATGAGGGGAAAGTCCCAAACAATTGTTCCCTATATAATATAGAACAGAATTAATTAATCCATAGACATGAACAAAGCAAATCAATAATTTTGTGTTCAAAATTCCATTCAAAATTTGGATTTTTAATTTTAATGCAGTAATGCAGAAATCAATATTTCCTACGTTAAGCCATCTAGGCAAACTTATGATGAACAGTGTCACAATGTTTGTGTAACAGGAGCTTCACACATCACATCTCATATATGATGATATGAGTGACACAGTGGTTTTGCTGATATGGAAAAACAGCTAAATATTTCCATTGGCATATAGACAAAAATTATATTAGATATAATATAATATATAAACAAATAATTCTATAGTTATTTTTGGACCCTGCTATATGCTTTCTATTCAGGGCCCCTGACTTTGTGTCACTCAGACATTCATCTGCTCAAATGTGACAGCTCTAGACCTCTGACCCCCATATACTAAACAAAAGCAGGGGCAAGACTTTATTATAGATACAGTAAGATACTTCTGTACTCACCCGTCTTTCTCTCTTGCAGGTCCAGAATGCCTGTGACTTGCTTATCAAACCTTTGGAAAAGTTTAGGAAACAGCAGATTGGGGTCACAAAAGTGAGTGTTATTTATATACATTTAGACACATTAAGAACACACACCACATTACCACATATGTGTGAGCATACTCCTCATTTCCGCCTCTACTTCCTTTCTCAAAGCAAAACGCTCAACATATCAAAACACACATGGGCTGAGTGTTTGCCAACCATACACACACACACACACACACACACACACACACACAAACAAACAAACAAACAAACAAACAAAACAGCACACACACACAACTAGGCTGGAATAATCAGCAACTGGAGCATCTATGGAAAAACTATTTAGTTTTAGAGAGACAGTGAAAGAGTTAAAGAGCTATCATGATTCTACAAGGAAAGCAAGATCAAGATAATTTGTAGGAAAAACGACACATGGAAAGTTTAGAATTCCAGAGACTTTTTACTGGATTAGACTCTTTCCACAGCAGCACGCTTCAGTTAACATTACTGAAGTATCAGTTTCATTTCAGCAGTGTTTCAGTGTGGCTTCTCAGAGATTATTGGTTGAAATTATTGGTTGTGAGGAACCAGTTACAAGTCTGCAAAAAATTTCTAAGAACTTTATACTAATACTAATACTAATACTTTATACTAATACTTATAATGCTTTTTTTTTTATTATTATTCATTAGGAATGGGTTTAGCGAACTGGACCACTTCCACTCCAGTTTTCGGTCTTATTTTCTTGGTTTCATTTGTTTGCTTGTGTTTCAGGAGAGAAGAAAGTCTGCAAAAAAATTCTAAGAACTTTATACTAATACTAATACTAATACTTTATACTAATACTTATAATGCTTTTTTTTTATTATTATTCATTAGGAATGGGTTTAGCGAACTGGACCACTTCCACTCCAGTTTTCGGTCTTATTTTCTTGGTTTCATTTGTTTGCTTGTGTTTCAGGAGAGAAGAAAGAAGTTTGAGAAGGAGAGTGAGAAGTATTACTCTCAGTTGGACAGACATATGAACCTGTCCTCAAAGAAAAAAGAGACACAGCTACAAGAGGTACATTTGAAAATACAGTCAATTAAAATGAAAGAAAAAAAATGAAACCCAATAATATAATCTTGATTTTTGTGTGTTTATAGGCTGATGGACTGTTGGATAAGGAGCGTCAGGCATTTTATGAGTCGTCTGTTGAATATGTGTACCAGATCCAGCAGGTTCAGGACAGGAAAAAGTTTGATGTTGTGGAGCCTGTGCGTGTGAACTTCTTTTTCCTCTAGCACACACACTCTTGTTTTTATATATGCTTTGTAGTACCTGATGGTTTACTGTGTGTACAAGAAGGTGCATGGATAAAAACGAGACATGCATTGATGATATTCATGCTGATACAAACAATTAATTGACCAAAGCATGTTATACTTAAAGGGGTGTGTCCTTGTTTTTGATTGACAGGTTTTAGCATTTCTGCAGAGCATCCTAACTCTGAATAATTTCACCGTGGAGATGACACAGGACTTCCTTCCATATAAACAGGAGCTTCAGCTCAGTCTACAGAACGTGAGAGCTTCACCGATCGATAATGAGTCTAACCTTCCATCCATATAGTCACATGCATGATCAGATCAGCAGAATACGAGTCATTCAATCTGTTGGTTTGTCCTTCACTCTTTATATTTAATTATTTCTGAGTGGTTTTTGTTTAGCAGATGATTTTATCCAAAGTGTCTTTCAGTAACTGTATTACAGATTATTGGATTCATTGTGGTGTTGTGAACATACAAGTTTAATAAATGATGAAGAAAATGAACAGTATTCCACCGCTAATTATTAATATGATTTATACGTTAATAAATGCGAGTTTCTGAACTTATTATTTGAACATTTTTATATTATTTTACATATTTTAAAGGTTTAGTTCACCCAAAAATGAAAATTAGCCTATGTTTTACTCACCCTCGAGGCATCCTAGGTGTATATGACTTTTTTCTTTCAGACGAATCATATCGGAGTTATATTCAAAATTAGGGTATATTAAACATTTTTAATATAACTCCGACTGGATGCGTCTGAAAGAAGAAAGTCATATACACCTTGGATGGCTTGAGGGTGAGTAAAACACAGGCTAATTTTCATTTTTGGGTGAACTAACCCTTTAACATCAGTTTTAAATTTAGTTAAGTATTTTTTTTTCTACTGATTTATAATTAAGTTATATACACTACCATTCAAACATTTGGGGTCTGTAAGATTTTTTTAAAGTTATTGAGTTCTAATGCTTACCCAAGGTTGCATTTATTTGATCAAAAAAATATAGTATAAACAGTAATATTGTGAAATATTATTACAATTAAAATTACTGTTTTCAATTTTAATATATTTTAAAATGTAATTTATTCCTGTGATGGCAATTATTCCAGTCTTCAGTGTCACACGATCCTTCAGAAATCCTTCTTAATTGCCGATTTAGTGCTCAAGAAACATTTCCTCTCATTTTAATGTTAACATTGATTGTGCTGCTTAATATTATTGTAGAAACTTTAGTTTTTTTTTCTGTTCTTTGATGAATAGAAACTTCAAAAGAAACTTCAAAACTTGATTAATTTAATGCATCCCTGCTGAATAAAGTATTAATTTCATAATAAAGAAAAGACTTACCCCAAACTTTTGAATAGTACTTTGGTTAATATTATTTATAATTAATAATAAGGAGCAAAATATATCGGCATATCCTTTGTAATGGCTCCTGATTATATGTAGAAATGTAACTGCATGTGTGTTTTTTGTTTGTATGTGTGATTGGGTGCCGCTGTGGTGTTGTTGTTGTAGACCCGTAACCACTTTGAGAGCACCAGAGAGGAGATGGAGGAGCTAATGAAGAGGATGAAGGGGTCGGCACAGATCTGTATTAGACACAGCCAGCAGGCAACTATGGAGGGATACATTTATGTGCAGGAGAAATGTGAGTGCACTTTGCTTCTGCAGCAATGGTCCATTACCACAGGCAATTATTTCATCTCAACTGACAGTGTGTATAAATGTGCAGGAAACAGAAACACAGTATAATAAAAGCTTAGTAGGTAAGTGGACCAGAGGCATGAAGTTCAAATAAGTATTTACAGCAATTCTTCAGTAAAACATGTTAGCTGCTATGTTGAACTATAAAGTTGTCTGATTTATTTTTTTAAGTGGAGGAACTTGGTTATGCATAACAATGGGTGGAGATTGTAAAACATCAACAAAGACTTGTTGGTTTTGTGCATGTAGTCACATCGCATCCTTTTCATGTACCTTCTTGGTATCCTTTCATAATTGTCGGCCATCAAATTAGTTAAAATTCTATGTAACTTGCACAAACAGGTTTGGTGGGCTATTTGATCTTTCCAATCTCGTGCCAACACATTTGTGATGGCTATACTACCAAAACATGTAACGTTTCCATTATAAGTGAATAACTGTAAAAGCTTTCTCATCCATTTTTATAAAATATGAGACCGTTCAAAATGACTGGTAATCAGCAGCCTGACACAGATGAAGTCCATTGACCTTCAGTTTAAAATAACCCTGAATATTCCTTTAAAAAAAATCCAACCACTAGGAAATATTTCTTTGTGAAAGAAAGAGCATCTAGTAGTAATTGTCTGTAAAGGTCAGTGTCCACACACAACACAAATCTTAATATGAGTTATGATAGTTAATCAAAGATTTCATAACACAGCTTTCTAACTGGTCAAACACAGCATTCTGCAGCAAAAGCTTTTTTTTTTGTAGATTGACTTATAATGACGCTAAACTGTGTAATTCATTGTTGGCACTGGATTTCTGGTAGCTGTGCTAGATTGATGTCTCTGTGGTACAACTCTGCAATCTCCATCTTCTCACATGATAAAATAAACCCACATCAATATTTTATGACCATTTATTTGGCAAGTAACTGTAATAAGTGGGATAATTTACATTTAGCTAGTCTTTATAGCAGAATAAACCCCCAGAAAAAGGGTTGTACGAGACCCCTCCATTTCCCCTCCAGGGTCCGTCACCCTGTCAGGATTAATCTCTGCAGTATTGACTGGCTGACCCTATCTATAATTCAAATGATACGTATGTTATTCATCTTTTAGTCTCTTTCTGTGTCTCTAGGGGCTCTTGGTGTAACCTGGGTTAAGTATTACTGTAAATACTTCAAGGACAACAAGTTATTCATTATGATGCCAGTGGAACAAAAGACAGGAACCAGACAGGTGCAGGATTATTACAGATACGATCATTACTTTGTGAAGAATCAGCCCTTTTCTCTTACATTTGTCTCTTTGTTTCTCTTAGACCACAGCTCAACTCACACTGAAGTCCTGTGTACGCCGTAAAACAGACTCCACTGATAAACGCTTCTGTTTTGACATCGAGACAAATGAAAGGTGATGCTCCTATCCGTTATATTCACTCATTCTCAAGTCTGTTTGTTCACTCTGCGAAGTGCACCTATAACAAACGTTTTAGTAGGACCAGAGGAGGGCCAGTAAATTGGAAAGTTGATATTTTTGTCAGAGCACTTACAAGAATTCTTCCATAAAAACAAATTTTCTTGTTGAACTGTGAAGTTGCTCTCTGATGTGTAGGCAGTTGTTTGATACTGGATACATTTCACACACACAACAAGAGGTTTAATTTATTTTGTTGCAGTGTGTCTTAAGTTTTTTTGTGTTGTGTCTCCATAGGTGCAGCCCTGTCCTGCTCCAGGCTATTTCTGAGGTCAACAGGAAGCAGTGGATGGAGGCCATGGATGGCAAAGAACCGGTGAGTTTAACATGATCTCTCCTCAGGCTTCATTAAGAGCCCTCACTACTGTCAGTCTCTGTGTATGATCATGTTTCTGATCCTTTGTGGTTTCTGTTCCAGATTTATCATTCTCCGATTCAAAAGCAGGCAGAGAGTAAGTGTAACTTCACTTCATCAGGGCAATAGTGTATTAGTACAGGTGCTTATTTGTATCAGAAAACCACTGATATTTATTCCCTACTTAATTGTAAAAAACAATTAGACCTGCCCAGTCCTTCAGTTACACACTCTCCAAAAAGCCACCCTTCACATGTCAAATGTTTCACCGGAAAATAGCATTTCTAAAAAGGGTGGACTGCTCTTCAGGCAGTATTGTTTTGCATTTTACAGAGACTAGGAATGTAACATAGATACTATGGTTTAAAGGTCAGTGAGAAAAATGTATCAGTTTTCGCAAAAATATTAAGCAGAACAACTGTTTTCAGCATTGATAATAATGCATCGAATCAGCATATTAGAATGTTTTCTGAAGGATCACGTGACTCTGAAGACTGGAGTAATGGCTGCTGAAAATGTAGCTTTGCATCACAAGGATAAATTACATTTTAAAATATATTGAAAACTGTTATTTTAAATTTCGTAATATTGCTGATTTACTGTATTTTTGACCAAATAAATGCAGCCTTGTTTTCTGCCTAAGAAGAGTGAGAAGTATTCTCAAAGACTCCTTTCACCCCAACCACAGACTGTTCACTACTCTCCCATCTGGGTATATAGTATATTATATATATATTATATAGTCTTCGCAGTATCGGCCTACTGAGCTCTAATCTCAGACGTTGAACACTACATCCTAGATGGACCACCTAATGTGTAAAAAAAAAAAATTGCTCTGTATAGTATCCTGTCTTTTCTGCACACTTACAGTGTTTCTTATTATGCCTTATTATAGCTTTGTCTTATTGTACACATTTCTACCTCCTAATGCCATTTGCTCTGCTATGGTCACTGGCCATACAGAAAAATACACTATTGATAGACCTCACTGTATAATGCACCTTCTGTGTCATACTTGTTCACTTGCACCTTATGTTATATTTGCAGTTATTTGAATTGAGGTGGTCTCTGTTCCTCTACCTCATTACTTGCACTCTGTACAATAATGTACTGTATATATATATATATTGTGGCTGGGAGAGGGAGTTCACAGACACAAATAGCCGTTGACAAAACCCCCTCCCCCCAAAGCGTCGTCCTGGTATGTCTGCGAGGAGATAGGGGAAACCACAAGGGGAGGGGGGAGATATTAACTGACCGACCTGCCCATCCTGACCACATCCGAGACAGCCCATTGGCGTTTCCATGGGAGGCTCCAGCCCGATTTTGTACTCTGAAGTGGAAGTCCTGGAGTGCCAGAAACCACAGAGTGACTCGGGCATTGGTCTCTTTTGCCCTGGCCATCCATTGGAGAGAAGCGTGATCCGTGACTAGCGTGAAACTTCTTCCCAGGAGGTAATACCTCAACTCCAGGACTGCCCACTTAATGGCCAGAGCCTCCCTTTCCACTGCGGCGTTCCTGGTTTCCGCTGGGCTGAGTTTGCGGCTAATATACACAACGGGGTGGTCACCCGATCGACTTTCACAAGGGGCATCACCCGATCGATCCGCTCCCGCATCTCCTGTACGTGCTCGATGACTGACCGTTGGGGGTGCTGGTTGCTTCTCCCAGGCCTGACGGGCCACGTCGAGTAGACCTCGAGGTTGGCTGCCGAAGAGGAGCTCAAACGGGGTAAATCCGGTGGAGGCCTGGGGCACTTCCCAGATTCCAAAGAGCACGTACGGCAGCATCAAGTCCCAGTCGCGCCCATCTTCTGCCACCACTCGTCGCAACATCCGTTTTAAGGTCTGGTTAAACCGCTCCACCAGGCCGTCTGTTTGGGGATGATAGACCGACGTCCGTAGCTGTTTGACTTTGAGAAGGTGACAGAGGTCTGACATCAATCGAGACATAGGTCAGTCGAGGAACGAGAGGTTCCCTGGTCAGTCAGGATCTCGGAGGGGATGCCCACCCGACTGAAGAGCATGAACAGTTCCTTGGCTATGGCCTTGGCCGTGGCTTTGCGGAGGGGCACTGCTTCGGGATACCGGGTAGCATAATCCACTATCACCAGAATGTGCTCATGGCCCCGGGCGGACTTCGGCAGGGGCCCTACGAGGTCCATCCCAATGCGCTCGAAGGGCACCTCAATTATAGGGAGAGGAATGAGTGGGCTGGGGGGAGGCCGCGCTGGAGTGGTGCGCTGACAGATAGGGCAGCTTTGGCAGAAGCGTTTCACCTCAGCTTCTAAACCTGGCCAATGGAATCGATCACGGATCCTTTGTATGGTATTGGCGGCCCCCAGATGACCAGCCATCGGGTGGGTGTGGGCCAGCTCAATAACTGTAGCAGTCTTCGTTTTGGGCACCACCAATAGTAACTTTTCCTCCCCCCGCCTCGGGGCGGCACAGTAAAGGAGCCCATTTTGGACCAGGAAGTAAGGCACGGGGTGAGGTGCGGGCTGTCTGTCCTCTCCGTCGACTATCCGCACTTGGTGCCAGCAATTCCGTAGCCGGTCATCCTCACGCTGTTCTCTACCAAACGAGCCCCCAGAGGTTATCTCGAACCCTGCTGTTCCGTTCCCGGCAGTCCGGTCGGCGGAGCCCCCTACTGGCCGGAGGTATTGTGGCGGCGAGCAGCTGTTCAAACCCCGGCCAATCTCTCCCAAGAAGAACCAGCACGGGGAGATCCGGGACGACGCCGACCTCCAGGGCCCAGGCTCCTGATGGAGCGGAGATGGTGACTTGGCGGGCGGGACTTACTGGCCTTGAGGTGCCCTCCGGGGGTCGCCAAACGGGGTTTGCCCTCCGGGGGCTGGCTACCGCCCTCTCTCCAGCATCTCTCGCGAAAGCCGCTTCTGCCAGCTCGACTGCTTCCACCAGCTCAGCCAGGCTGTTTGGGTTACGCATTCCCACTGGGTTCCTATACCGTCTAGGAAGCGGTAGGGCGGTCCACCACCACTCTCTCGGCGACCTGGGTGGCCGAGGGTTCGTCTACGAGCAGCCACAGATGAGCCATGCGGGACAACCGGGTGGCCTGGACCCTCACTGGCACGTTTTCCTCATACGTCCAAGTCCAGAACTGTTGTGCGGCACAGATGGGGGACAGCCCCACTCGGGCTAGGATTTCCCGCTTGACCGCGCCGTAGTCTTCGCTCTCGGGAGGAGTTAGCGCAAAATAGGCTCGTTGCGCTTCCCCGGTCAGGAAGGGGGCTAGGAGACGGGCCCACTCCTGTCGATCCCAACTCTCTCGGGTGGCCACTACTTCAAATGTGTGCAGGTAAGCTTCTATATCATCTAGGTCGCTAAGTTTGGTGAGATGGTGGTGCGCCGACGCGCAGGGATCTGGTAACGGCACACGAGCCGCGCCGGCTTCCCGCAACATTTCCACTGTCTGCTCCGTCCGTTCCTGCCGAGCAGTGAGTTGTTCTGCAAGCTGGTGCTGGCGTGTGGTGATTTCCGTCAGACGTCGGATGATCTCCTCCATTCTGGGCTTCTCATGTGAGAGCGCGAGAGAGAGAGAGAGAGAGACCGGCTGCGTCGCGACAGTAACCGTGTGCTTTATCTTTTACAGTGGCTACGTGTACTTTTTGCATTTCTCTAAGCTTGATAATGTAATGTGATGAAGTTTCTCATTTCATCCGATGCCTGCCTGTGACTAACCGTCATAAACTGACTAGTACAAAAACAATTAGACCGCAAAACATCTGGGTGGCCAAACATGTTTCAGTGGGGGCCAGTACACAAGGCAGCATATCAATCAATCTTTATTACAGACTCAAGGTCCAAATAAAAAAAATAAAAAAAACAAGACAATAGTACAACATATACACTCTTCTTAATTGTTGGCCTTCTGGAAAGTATGTTCATTTACTGTACATGTACTCAATACTTGGTAGGGGCTCCTTTTGCTTTAATTACTGCCTCAATTCGGCATGGCATGGAGTGAAGGCGTGCTCGGTGCTGCAGGGCAGTCCTGTAGAGGGGTGGGTGAAGCAGGGTGAACGTGTGGAGAAGGCCGATCGTCAGTCGCTGGTCTCTGCAACAAACAAAGAGCACACAGTTAGCGTCCTGCATAATCGGAGGCGAAGCTCAACCTCCTTCCCCTCTCTTCCGTTTATATATCCTCCTCTTAATGAGGTGCAGGTGCCTTTTCCACGACATTCTAATTTATTGAGATGCACCTGTATGCATATATATATATATGCATTGCTATTTGCACTTCTGGTTAGATGCTAACTGCATTTCATTGGCTCTGTACTTGTACTCTGCACAATGACAATAAAGTTGAATCTAATCTAATCTAATCTAAAAACAAGAAAATCTTACCGACACCAAACTTTTGAATGGTAGTATAGGTGTGATATCTCAGGACCTTTTTCAGTGATGTATGTTAGCTATAAAGAGAAAAGCTGCAGAACACAGGAAACTCCAAAAATAGATGGAGAAAATGCTGCTTAATAGATTCCGGTACTTGCAAGGCTGTGCAATACCATATATAATAATTACACCATAAAAAGTGTGCAGTAACCTATTGAGAAATGCATACAGGGATGATGAACTGTGTTCATTATATGTAATATTAATTGTTTTGTTTTTTTTCTCAGTGGACCTAAATGACATCGGCTTCAAGTTCGTCAGAAAATGCATCAACTTTGTGGAAACAAAAGGTACCATCACACATTAGACTAGCAAGAATATCAGTTACTTATTTTAGTTTGTCACCTGTTCACAATGACTGACTCTGTCTGCGGTTTTCATGGCCACCATATGCTTTAATCAGAGATAAGAGACAACACAATGCCACTATTTATTGGATTCATGTCTCAAGTGCAGCCAGCAGAGGGCAGCAGCACACTATTTGTGTTCACATCTGCGGATACAGCGATTTGAGCCAACTCTAGAGAGAAAACATTCTTTTCCAGAATGTTTTTGCTGCAGAACTGTGGCCAAAGAACCAGAAACACACACACAGAAACATACAGATTTTTGTCAATAATATATCATATAAATTAAAAGAAAAAATCAAGTGATATAAATTGATAGCAGACGTGTATATGCTCTCCCTCACATTTTCTCCCTCATGACAAGTCATTTGAAACCTGTCTGTAGCATTTCCATGGCTGTTATAGTACAGGAGTAAAATCGTGAAGAGGCCGTTCATGCGCATTAATATGCATGATTACACCATTGCGTTGACTGCGGGAGCACCGAGCACTAACGGCTCTGTTTGAAGTGCTGATGTATGCGTTCACCAGTCTCTGAGTGTGCCGTTACTCAGATTTCCCAGACGTTTAAGACCAACCCCAATGTCAGGCACAACGTGGTGTATGTTAACAATCAGTAAACTCTGGCAAGTTATCGTTTGGGGTTATTATTGCACGTCTAATGATGGCTGAGCGTGAACTGAAAGTGGGCCAGTTCCACCGCACGCTTTCCAGTAGAGCTGTACTTTTCCACTGTGGACACTTCCCCCTTTCATTCTCCTTCATGGCAGGTTCTCCAGTTTTCTCAGTCTATAAATCATGCTTTCTGTCTCCCTTTCCTCCTTTTTTTCAGTTTCTCTCTTCTTCTCTTTCTTTCTGGTAGGGCTGACTCAGGAAGGAGTCTACAGGACTGTGGGCAGCAACATTCAAGTACAAAAATTTCTGAATGCCTTCTTTGGTGAGGAAATGGCCAAAAGAACATCTGCTTTATGTGTGTGTACAATGTGTGTACAAGAGGAAGACATTCGAACATGCTCTCACACAAACATGCACTCATTGTGTTTCTAAAACTTGTAAACCAGATTTATACACAAACATTTACAACCAAATATACAAACATACTTTATTTCTTGTTAAGAAGCTAATCGTGTTATCATAAATTTATTGTCTCATAATTCTGAGTCCAGCTTATTGTGGCGTGTTTAATATCTGCAGTGAACTTCCTGAGTTTTTTACTCAGTGGAAACCAAAGCAGAGATATACGTCCATGAGAGCGTCCTTGAGCTGTTACAAAATCCCTGACACATATTCAACAATAGTAACAACCATCTGAGGAAGGCCATTTATCTCTCTCTCTCTCTGTCTTCATCTGTCCTCCTCTGTCTGTAGACCCAAAGTGTGCAGCGGATGTAGATTTCAATTCCACTGACATGGACATTAAGACCATCACTAGTGCTTTGAAATTCTATCTGCGGTGAGTTAAGCACACATGATTTTATTATGTTCAAAAATGACTTTTTAATTTTTTTAAATGTGTACTGTACATTTGCATGCTTTTCCAGGAGTTTGAGTGAACCACTGATGACCTACAGCCTGCATGGAGAACTGATCTTAGCAGCAAGTATGACAGTGAACACACACAGACAAACACTTTTATGTGTATGTGTGTATTTTCCATCTCTTATGTGGGTCAGTCTTGTTCAACTCAAGCGTAGCTCTAAAAGAGGGGAAAAACACAAGTCCAAGTGCACTGTTTGCCCTTTCAGTTCTACACAATACTATATCCCACATCAGTGATCCTCAACCATGGATATACAGTGGGTACGGAAAGTATTCAGACCCCCTTCAATTTTTCACTCTTAATGGGTAACTAAGCAGGTTCCAGGGGGTCCTTTTGATTAGGCTTTGTTAACCCTACAAAACAAAAGACTGCAAGTTTTATACATTTGAATGACACTGATAACAGAATGCACTACCGTTCTTTGTGAAATGAATACCTTTATTCAGCAAGGATCCATTCAACTTATCAAAACTGACAGTATAGACATTTATAATGTTACAGAAGATTTCTTCTTCAAATAATAGCTGTTCTTTTGAACTTTCTATTCTTCAAAGCATCCTGGAAAAAATGTATCATGGTTTCTGCAAAAATATTCGTAGCACAACTGTTTTCAACATTGATAATAATAAGAAAATCACGGGAATAAATGACATTTTAAAATATATTAATAGAAAAGTTTAATTTTAAATTGTAATAATCCTTCACAATATTACTGTTTTTCCTTTTGTTTAAAATATTAAGCCACTCGAGGACATTTTACAGTAATTTTACAAAGGTGATGGGTATTATTAGGTCTAAAACCCCTTAATCTTGTTAAATGCACAGCTTCAAGTGACCGTTAAAATGTTGGCAAAATGAATACGAAAGAAGATGGCAGTGTTTAATAAATAGAATACATTTAATTACTAATAATATTCAGAATAACAAATTCTATCAAAAGTAATATAGTCCATTTAGCATTATTGTAGGCTGTGTAGGGTTGCCAGCAATGTAGCATATTAATACACTTTAGAATGCAACTCATCTAATCAGAAATTAGAGACAAAACCATCCGTTTTGAGGCGTTGTGTCTGCATGAGTTGAGTGTGTGCCCAGCTTTGAGTGTTTTCAATGAATTGTCGAAAGTGCTGTATTGTAATTTAAAAGCTTAAAAGCCATTAAAGCAGCTTTGATTATTATAGCTTGTCTGCTTGCTTGCGCTCAGATTACACACAACTAAACAAACTCAGTGGAGCAGAGGAAAGGGCTACACCTGCTGAGGGATTAACGGCTCGCTTTAATGTGCTTTACTCACTTGGCCCAAGTGACATCTCAGTCTGTCGTGTTGTAGAATTTCTTTATTTTTAATTTTAAAGACGTCAAGAGAGTTTTGTCCGACTCTTTCAAAGATGCTACAGCGTCTCTTAAAAACGCTGTACACAGTTCACAAGTACACGTTTTTGCTCCGCTCTTTATAAAGTAGCTTTGTTACGCTTCGCCACAAGCTGTATTTTTAGATAAAGCTGTGTTCATCCCATAGTTCACAATAAATGTGTCTGTACTGATCCTTTTAGGATTTTACAAGTTATCTTTGGACAAGTTGAAAGACGTTCAGCAAACTGCCGTGAGATGTCTGCAGCAAGAAAAGAAAAGCCACTAGCTTGCTAGCACAATCAATCAGCTCTATTAGTCTTAGTGTAGACTGAGAAGTGCACTGACTTGCACTGTCTGCTTTATTCTGCCTTTACGATGCATTCTTTAAAGTGCTTTCCTTTGGTACCTTGTAATGGGAGTCATGGCAGTGAGATGTAGCATGAACCGCTCTTTCCATGGGTGCGAGTCAACACAGATTGTGGCACAACAGTTATGTTAATAGAGCAATCTGTGGATCATGTCCATCTATAGTGTGTGTGTGTGACTTTTCCTACATTTTTTCCCCAGAGTCTGAGAATCTGGACTATCGGTTAGGGGCGATTCACTCACTTGTTTACAAACTCCCAGAGCGGAACAGAGAGATGCTGGAACTACTAATCAAACACCTGGTCAGGTAACACATACATACATAACACATGCAGGCATGCGTGAACACAGACGTGCTAATGTTGAAACACACACACACAGACAGACTGTGGTTTTTCTAAATGCTACCCAGCTTGCTTGAGTGTGTACCTTTATAATTATATATTCAAACTGTGTTTTGATTAATGTGACAGGTTGTGTGTGTGTGAAAGTGTGTGTTCTAACAAACCTGACAATAAATCACTATAGCTCCATGTCTCATTTTGTGTGTGTGTGTGTGTGTGTGTGTGTGTGTGTGTGTGTGTGAAATATCTTAAATAAAGCATACAGCATATTCACATAAGTAGCTTGAACTTTATATTTAACAAGCTTATATACTAAATAGAAAATTAGGATTACATTAATAATGCATTGGTAAGATTTTTGAAAATTTTAAGGCTACATTTATTTGATCAAGAGTACAGTGAAAACAGTAATATTGTTATTAAGTAGTGAAATAACATTTCCCATTATCAATGTTGAAAACATTTGTGCTGCTTAATATTTTTGTGAAATATAAAGTTCGAAAGAACAGCATTTATTTGAAATCATTTGTAATATTATCTGTACTGTAACTTTTGATCATTTTAATGCATCCTTGCTGAATAAAAGTATTAATTTCTTTTAGAATCATATATTTTAAAAGTATTTTTATATGTGCCAGAAAATATATTTATGAAATCCTCAATACATCACAGTAAACCAAACATTAAATTTTAGAAGGCATAAACACATTTATATGATTAACGAATGTACAATCCAGTGACAACACCACACTGGCCCAATAAAGACTTCCCAAAACTTTCTCACCCTGGCCATGGGCAAGTGGGCTTATTATAATGAGCCCTGCATTATAATAAGTAGCAGACACTGCAAGCAATATTTATCAGTTTTATCCAAAGTTATACAGCACTTATCACAGGGATAATCCCTACGTCCTATCCCAAATCTCACTACATTATCTCTGTGTTTTTTTTTAGTGTTTGCAGCCACAGCAGTGAAAATCTGATGACCGTGTCAAATATGGGTGTAATATTTGGCCCCACTCTCATGAGAGCAGAGGAGGAAACCGTAGCGGCCATGCTGGATATTAAGTTCCAGAACATCGTCATGGAGATCCTCATTGAGGACTACTGCAAGGTCAGACCTTTCCATGCCCCTTTCCCAACGATCAGGGGGACAGTTTATCTCTGTATCTATTTTTATACAAGCAAAACGCTCAGACAGAAAACAGGTTTCGAATGAGAACTGCTGTATTTGTGCTGTAAAATATTTTGTAATCAAAACAAAAATGCTGTGATTTATGAGAGATTAATTTCAACAATATGTTCTCACATTTTCAGTGGCCTTAACAGTGACATAGATTGATAATGTCTTTTTTTGTAATTACTGCCATCTCTGATGTTCGCAGATCTTTAAGGGTCCTCCTGAAGAAACCATACCGCCTCCTATTCCTCCTCCAAGGGTGACGCCACGGAGACGGCAGCCAATCACAATCTCAAAACGCCCACCCCGTCTCTACCCCGGCCTTCAGCCTCCAGTTTTTGAGCGTAAATAGCCTTCAGAATGATAGCCATCATCATCATCATTGTCATCCTCATCATCACCATCTCTTCGCCATATAATGCATATTTTTGTACCTTATCAGTGAAAATATGAATTTTATTTTTAAGAATTTATCTTTAGCATAGATGAAAATGGATTTTATTTATTTTACATTTTTCATTTTTTTGTATTGTTTTTTTACTTTTAATATAAAAAAAGATTACTTAATTTTTTTAAAGATCTATGCAGCTCCGATAAGACATACTATATTATGTGTTTCAGATCTATATGTATATATTGTTTTTTGTTTTGTTTTTTCTTCCATTTTTTTCTGCTTTGTCTTACATGTTCCTTTTTTGCTTTTACCTTTTCAAAGCAAAGCAGCATAGATGAAAATGGATTTTATTTATTTGACATTTTTCATTTTTTTGTATTGTTTTTTTACTTTTAATATAAAAAAAGATTACTTAATTTTTTTTAAAGATCTATGCAGCTCCGATAAGACATACTATATTATGTGTTTCAGATCTATATGTATATATTGTTTTTTGTTTTGTTTTTTCTTCCATTTTTTTCTGCTTTGTCTTACATGTTCCTTTTTTGCTTTTACCTTTTCAAAGCAAAGCCTGTTTTTGTGCTGCAAGCTTAAATACAGTACACACACCTAAACACTGTAGTTGTGAGCAGGCGCACACACATAACAGCTGATTGGGTTTCATATGTTCTGGAAGGGACCTTGGACTGGATCTGATTCTCCTTAAAAGGGTTTTCTCTAAATGAAGAAAATACTACCAAACCTCCCTGATCTTCCTGTCACACACACACACGCACACACACTCCTCATGTGCCAGTTTAGAAGCCCCTCCTTGCACATTGTGAATTGTATGATTAAATCTGCAGGATCTCGAGGTGTGTGTATGCGTATGTGTGTCTGCTCTGATAAATGTTCGTTCTCTGACATGTTGTCCTCCCCTCATTGTGAGCCCTGTTATGTGTGTTTTTTAATGCATGCATACGAGTGTTGGTATGCCTTCGTGTGTGTCCTGTGTGCGCTACCCAGTGTGTCTGAGAGCTAATGCCTGCATGCGTTTTACGACACTCAATCTGTTTTCCATTGGCTTTGGGACCTTTTTCCCTCTAATAAGCCATTTTCATTATTAACATCTGAGCCTTTTTTCTCCCTCTTGATCAAAAACGAATGTACATTGTATTAAACCATTAATATGACTCTCTGGTTCATTTGTATATTCATGAAATTTTAGCTTAAAGCATGCTGGATCTTTGCTTGTTCAGATCAGTGGAATAAATTTTTTCCCCTTCTGTTGTATATTTCAATCCAATCATTAATATAAGTAGATCATAACGGCTCGTTTCCTGTTTGTTGAATTAAGCGGTGGCGGGATCTGTGTGTTTGTGCATGTGTGTGTGTGTGTGTGTGCCACCTGTTGTTTTATTGAATCTTGGATTGTGCATAAACTTGGCCCTGTGTGTATGCGTGTTTCTGTGTTTTTGTTGAGAATACAGATACAGTTATGGAGTATTAGGAGCAACTGTGTGTGTGGGAACCCCTGCCAAAATACGAATGTGTTTGTGAATGGTTATTCATGCAAATGTGTCCATGTCCAGTTTGGCTAGCTCACCTAGTTGTTTTGACTGATGCCGTTCACACACACACACACACACACACACACACAGCTGTTTTAAACTCTTGTCCTTGGTTCTCACATGAACAACTTTTTTTTTTTACACACTAAATTGGAGTCAAACCAGACTGTCAATCAGTTTGTCGTTCATTCATACCTCATTTCAAATCTTTTTTTCTTTTTTCTTTTTTGATCCCAGATTCATATTTTTTTCTCAGTTAAATAAGCAAAGTCTATAAAAACACCTTTCCCTGCATAAAAATGCTTTTCATTGTATGAAAGAAACATTAGAGTCTGGTTTAAATGCCAGTACTGAAGATAATTTGTGCTCTTAGATATATACTAAATGCAGTTAGCTTTTACCATTTCAAGGTAATAATGCTAATTCCACACAGCAGAAAATGGCATTTCTTTATAAAGAGATCATGAAAGTCAGGTAAAAATCATTCAGGCTTTGACCATATGACTTGAGCTGATAACAATCAGCGTGTTTGAGTTAAGCCGTTCATGGCTTCTAGACACTTTTTCTTTCAGTTTAAAGCTTCCATTATGTTCTGGTTGTGTTGAAGCTGTTGGAATGAAATGACTAATTTTGGGTAATTTGATTTTGACTATTTCAGTCTTTATTGGCTTGTATTTCTCGTATTGTGGAAACACAAGAGGACAGAGCATCTGTCGAGCTGTTCTCTTTATTTATTTATCGTAACTATCACAGTCTCCTGTTTTTAAGCCAAAACTACAGGAACAGGACATTTAAAATTTTAACGGCACCCCTGATACAATCTCCCCTGTGGGGAATGTTCAGGGCTAAACCCTTGCAATTGGGCTTCTGACCTGCCTAATGTTTAGTAGTGTTTTATCTAAACTGCCTGCATTCACTGATTTTTTTGCTTTGCAGGGCGAGAGCAAAATGGTGCCACCCACAATGATGGTGAACCCGAGGGAGATACCAGCCTCACCAGTCCGTTTCCTCATCAAAGAACAAAACTGACACCTCCTTCTGTCTCTCCTCCATCCATCCCTCTCTCGTCTCCGACGTCTCGGAAGCCTGCTCACCCCAGACCTGCTCTCCGGCCCTTGGATTCTGATGTCAGCAGGCTTGAAGTTAGGATACAGGATGGTCAGAGGTCGGACGCCATGGTGACGACCAATGGGGAATCAGGAGTGACAGTGAACCGAACTCAATCTTTTCAAGGAAGGAGGCCACCACTCAGAGGAACAACTGGTAAACAAGCAACACACATGGTCAAACTATTCATCAGTTCATTTTGATGTTTTTGGGGGAGCCTAAAATCAAACATTTCAAATTACACATTATATGTATATGTGTGTGGGTGTATACATTTAAAAACTTGTCTGCCAAAAATCAAAGTCACTTGATTCAATGAACATTCGGCCAAAAAACATAAAACAGGAAAAGATGTCATAGAGAGGACCCTTGCAGACCCCCATGACTGTCAAGGCCAGTAAGTCTCTCAGTAAGTGTCTCTTATATCAGGTAATATGATGCTTTTATGAAAAGGCAAGATTATTTCAGATGACAGACAGATTATTTTTTGACTCCTCAAAAACATAATGATATTTATAAAAGTTATTAATTCTTGATATTGGTAATAAAGCACGTAATACTTTAAAAATACCTTGAAAATATATTTTAAATGTTTTGGAAAAAATTGGAAGATGTACACTCACTAATTTGAAACATTTTATAAAATGTTTATATATATATATATATATATATACAGTGCTGCTTGAAAGTTTGTGAACTTTGTGAACCCTTTAGAATTGTCTATATTTCTGCATAAATATGACCCAAAATATAATTAGATTTTCACACAAATCCTGAAAGTTGACAAAGATAATCCAGTCAAACAAAGGAGACAAACATATATACTTTGTCATTTATTTATTGAGAAAAATTATCCAGTGTTAAAAGGGTCATAGGATGCCCATTTTCCACAAGTTGCTATGATTCTTTAGGGTCTTAATGAAAAGTCTGTAACATAGTTTGGTTAAAATTTCTCAATGGTAGTGTAAAAGAACCACTTCAACTCTGTGATGTTGGTGGGTTTCCTTCTATGAACTGCTTGCTTCAGGTCCTTCCATAAAATTTGAATTGGATTAAGGTCCGAACCTTGACCTGGCCATTCCAAAAGATTAACTTTGTTCTTCTTTATCCATTCTTTGGTAGAACGACTTGTGTGCTTGGGGTCGTTGTCTTGCTGCATGAACCACTTTCTCTTGAGATTCAGTTCTCGGACAGATGTCCTGACATTTTCCTTCAGAATTTGCTGGTATAATTTAGAATTCATTGTTCCATCAATGATGGCAAGCCGTCCTGGACCAGATGCAGCAAAACAGGCCCAAACCATGATACTACCACCACCATGTTTCACAGATGGGATAAGGTTCTTATGCTGGAATGCAGTGTGTTCTTTACTTCAAACATAATGCTTCCCATTTAAACCAGAACGTTCTATTTTGGGCTCATCTGTCCACAAAACATTTCTCCAGTAGCCCTCTGGCTTGTCTGCATGATCTTTAGCAAACTGCAGATGGGCAGCAATGTTCTTTTTGGAGAGCAGTGGCTTTCTTCTTGTGACTCTGCCATGCACACCATGGTTGTTCAGTGTTCTCCTGATGATGGGCTCATAAACATTAACATTAGCCAATGTGAGAAAGCCTTTAATTGCTTAGACGTCAGCCTGCAGTCCTTTGAAACCTAGTGGACTATTACACGTCTTGCTTTTAGAGTGTTATTTTTTGGTGGAGCACTCCTGGGGAGGGTAACAGTGGTCTTGAATTTCCTCCATTTGTACACAATCTGTCTGACTGTGGAATTGGAAAGTCCAAACTCTTTAGAGATGGTTTTGTAACCTTTTCCAGCCTGATGCACACAGCAACTCTTTTTCTGAGGCCCTCAGTGGTCTCCTTTGTTTGTGCCATAATTCACTTCCTCAAACATGATCAGACTTTGATAAATCCCTGTTCTTTAAATAAAATAGGGCACGCACTGACACCTGAAAGTCATCCCACCGATTAAAAAAAATGCCTCTGAACAGATGGACTCTAACTTCACCTTCAAATTAACTGGGATTGGTAAAGTCCAAACTCTTTAGAGATGGCTTTGAAAACTTTCTAGCCTGATGAGCAACATCAACTCTTTTTTCTGAGGTCCTCAGAGATCTCATTTGTTCGTGCAATGATACACTTCCACAAACATGATCAGACTTTGATAGATCCCTGTTCTTTAAATAAGACAGGGCAGGCAATGACACCTGATAGTCATCTCACTGATTAAAAACACCTCCAAAAATGAAACGCACCAACTTTTGCCGCTCACAGATATGTAATATTGGATAATTTTCCTGAATAAATAAATGACAAAGTATATATATTTGTCTCCTTTGCTTGATTGGATTCTCTTTGTCTACTTTCAGGATTTGTGTGAAAATCTAATTATGTTTTGGATCATATTTATGCAGAAATATAGAAAATTCTAAAGGGTTCACAAACTTTCAAGCAGCACTTCTGTCAACTTTCAGGACTTGCATGAAAATCTGATGATTTTTTGGGTTATATTTATGCAGAAATATAGACAATTCTAAAGGGTTCACAAACTTTCAAGCAGCGCTGTATATATACAGTATATATATATAATGAACATTAAAACAAAGTGTACATTTCTTAAAACCTGACGTGTTTATTCAAAGATTTTTCTTTTCTATTTTATGGACACTCCTATATGTCATTGGCCTCTAAATGACTGATTCCTGTGATGTTAAAACACAGTATGGCATTTGAAGTATGAATGATCGCCATAGTACAGGACCGGCAGTTCCATGTGATCTACAGTTAGCAGAACACACATGTACAGTAATCCCGATGCAATGAGTCAGTCGGTTAAAGTGGTTGTAACAGGTGTGTGTATGTGTGTGTAACAGGAGAGGCTCAGGGGCTGAAAGGACAATCTTTCTCAGAGAAGAGTTCCATCTGCCGGCCACCAAGTCGACCACCAGATCCACCCTCTCGTCTCCTCAATAAAACTCCAAATGAAGACACCCCAGCCTCATAGTGAGTACACATCACTCACCACAAATCCCACTTCACCGTGATGCAACTGCTGATTTATGATTGAATGGTTCTCTGTGGAAAAATTCCAATTTCTTTTTTGCAACATGATTTTTTCTTTCTTCTTGTTATATATTGCCAAGAAGCTGAAATATGTTGCATAGCTCATGGGGAGTGGCTCCCGTGCAGCGGTGATGGGATATGTTTGGGTGAAGGATATTTCAGCTTTGCATGCTGCTCAGGTGTGATTTTGGCACATTCATCCAGGCAGATTTGCTCCAGATTGTTCCGGTTACTTGCTCGACACCTGTCCACTGCAATTTTCAAGTAGCGCCACAGATTCTCAGTTGGATTGAGTTCAGGACTTTGATTGGGCCATTATGAGATGGGAGATGTGTTCTTGTGCCAATGTGATGTTCATTTAGCCTTGTGTCTGGAAATATTGACCTTCTGAAGGAAGAACTTTCTCCCAAGCTTTGTTCTCTTGCAGTAGGGTTGAACAATTTTAGGGATGCATGTTATATATTGGAACCAAAACCGTTAATCAGTTATCACATATTTTAGGTCAGTATTTGATGTTTAATTGTACATTGATTTCCTGTTTTTTACACTTAGATGACATTTTCCATCATCTAACGCTCACTAAAAGTAAATTTTTAAAAACACTAATAATTTAATAACACTGTCAATGTAATCCTTATGAATGTTTAAAATAAATATCCATTTTTTCATACTGTACATTATAATGTTGTGATGCCTAAATTAACTTAAAACGACTGATTTAATTTTTAAGTATTTAGACAAAGTGGTAACAATTTTGTCAAATAAAAATATATTGAAATAATGGTTTGAAATGCAGCCTAAACATTGGATATCTGTTGTTGTTGCTGCTTAGGTATATCAAGACCAAAAAGGCATAAAAGTCCATTGTGACAGCAGCTCTCAGGCTGAACTCAGGGTGTGCAAGAACTACAAACTAGGAAGTCTGTCTCCAAACTAAGTCATGTTTTACCTAAGCTTTCCTGCTAACAGAAGGAGGAACTCAGACCTCTTTCAGTTGAGCCAAAAGTGAACGGAGTGAAAAAGAACCCAGTTCTCATGGCATTAACATTATACCTGAACTTAGGGTGGACTCAGAAATCGATCCTCTTGAGTTGTCAGAGGGTCTCTTTCTACTTTTTATTTCTACAGTTATTTTTAGGAACCCAGCAAACTTAAATATTAATGATGTATTGTTATTATATTGAATGTTATGAATATTGAAATTGTTGTGCAATATGTTTCTGTTGTAATTTATTTACTTTAAACCCTCAAGCCTGTTTGGAGTGAAGTTCACAATATAGTTTTCACTCTACACGTTTATTAATGATTATTTTATATATTTTGTTACATTTTGGCCGTTTGTGCTTTAATAATTACACATTTCATATTGCAAATTTGATTCTATTGCATTTAATTTTGCAGCCCTATATTGCAGTACCTTTCTGTATTTTGCATCGTCCATTCTTCCTCCTGCTTTTATGAACATGTCCAGTTCCTGTTGATGAGGAGAAGCCCTACATGATGGTACTGCAAAACTTTAGCATGTGACTGGTGTTTTTTGGTGATGTGGGCAGATATACTGTAGATTTGTGTCATCCAGATTGTTTTAGGCTGACCAAGATCTGATCGTTTCCTGCATTGCAGCTGGATCACTGTTATGCATTTTGGCAAACTCCTGACATGCTTACACATGATTCTTTTTGAGGAATGGCTCCTTGCTGCCACCCTCCCTATACAGACCGGTGGTTTGCAGGACTATTGCAATGGTTGGCTGGTGCGTGTTTACTCTGTTGTCAACCAGTGAACGCTGTAGATCCTGCGGAATGATTGTTGGCCTCTATGTGGTCCTCTTGGAAATTTCCTGGTTCACACAGTTCACAGGAATGACCTTTTATAGGTGTGTCTGGGTGACCAAAGGTTATCACTGGGACATCCAAACACTTGGATATAGTTTTGTTTTTCCAAAATGTATGCATTTGTTTTACTATAACTAGGACCCAGGAATGCTCTTAACTTGTCATTTTCACAGCAGTCCTTAAGACTCGCAGCTAGAATAATGATCCCTTAACTGTGGGGTTTTTATCTAGAAAATTCTATGGGTATTTTAATGGCTCACAGGTAGTAGTCAATTCAACGGAATTTGTGTCCTCATTAACACAATTGCCATCTGTGTAGACTTAAAACTATTGCGTCAAAGGGATTACATTTTTATTATTATTATTTTTTTTTACAAATTCTTTTTAACAAAAAAAAAAAAAACACATTAAAGGGTTAGTTCACCCAAAAATGAAAATTAGCCCATAAATTACTCACCCTCAAGTCATCCTAGGTGTATATGACTTTCTTCTTTCAGACGAATCCATCGGAGTTATATTAAAAATTGTCTTTGATCTTTCAAGCTGTTTCATGGCACTCAGCGGGTGTTGCATGCATCAGTCCAAAAGCACTTAATTAAAATGCGTCCATCTATAAAAAAAAAAGTGTCTCACACGGCTCCGGGGGATGAACAAAGGCCTTCTGTAGCAAATCGATGCGTTTTTGTAAGAAAAATATCCGTATTCAAAACGTAATAATCACTTTAATGTGTAGCTTGCGCTCACTGTTGTACACCGAAGCAGTTCCGGGCGGATGACGAATGAGTTCAGCGCTGCGCATGCATCGCTCAGAAGTGATGAACGCGGAAGCGCAGCGGAGAGATCAAAACAAAACAGTGGTCACCAATTAGAAGTACAAAACGAGGATTTGTAAAGAAGAATGTCGGAGGATTTCGATGTAAGCCAAGAGCAGACTGGTTTTCCTTTGCTAAAGTAAGGAAACTTTGCTTTTTTTGCTCCTGTTAACACACGTTGGTTTTCACGAGACTCACCGGCGCATGCGCAGTGCTGAACTCATACGTCATCAGCCCGGAACTGCTTCCAGTGGACAACTGTTGGCGCAAGCTACATTTAAGTGATTATTACGTTTTGAATATGGATATTTTTCTTACAAAAACGCATCGATTCGCTACAGAAGGCCTTTGTTCACCCCCCGGAGCCATGAGAGGCATTTTTTTTTATGGATGGGCGCTTTTTATTTAACTTCTTTTGGACTGATGCATGCAACACCCGCTGACTGCCATGAAACAGCTTGAAAGATCAAAGACAATTTTTAATATAACTCCGACTGGATTCGTCTGAAAGAAGAAAGTCATATACACCTAGGATGGCTTGAGGGTGAGTAATTTATGGGCTAATTTTCATTTTCATTTGGTTTTACTTTTTTGCCGCTTTGAACATTTATAGACTAAATTTTCAGAGTGATGCAGAATTTGACTTGACAAAATTAAATACAAAAAAGCATGACTATAACAAAAATGGCACAAATTAGCTCTGCTTATTAGTGTGTTCTGTCAGATATTCTCATATTGTCCATATGTCCTTAATAGGAACAACAGTTTCAAATGCAGATATACATTCACACGCGCTGAGATTCAGTGCGAATGTCAGTACATGTAAATGAGATTTAGTGTAAAGAGTAAGTCAGACCTCAAAACGGCAACATTTCCACATTTGGGATTGAAGATTCCAACTTCAGCCTCCGAAGAGACTGTAATCTAATGAAAAATGGTCTTCACAGCATGTAAACAACATGAACAAAATGTGAAAAATATAGACAAAATAGTTCTATTCAGTCTTGTCTTATTTAGAATGATCCCAGTAGATCATTTCCATTCATGATCAGTTTTGTATCAATGTATTCTTCTTTCTCTCTTTCCCCATAGTGTCGCCTCCAAAACCAAATTTTTTGAGAACGCTTCGAGGCAGGTGGGGAGGTATGTATGCGTGTATTTGAGGGCATATGCTGGGTCAGGAGTGTGTGTGTGTGTGTGTGTGTGTGTGTGAACCTTTCATTGTTTTCAGCAGCTGCCTGACCTCACTTAGAGCGGAGCCAGTAAAACCTGATGCACTTTTGATGTTTGTGCTTTCAAATAAAGTTGTGTTTAATACACGACCACATGCTGAAAGTCCTTGTGTTACAGACCAAATAAAAACGGAACTAGACATACATCCGATCGGTTGTTTAGTCCTGCTTGATGGTTTAGTTTAAATCTTTCAAATAGACAGGTAGTTTAGAGCAGGTAATTCGATCCATGTCTGGGAAAAGTCTTAAAACACACACACACTCAGATTTGCACCTACAGGCACATAGCCTTATTTGAACCCTTTGGCTTAAAGGAATAGTTAATCCAAAAATAAAATACTGTCATTATTTAGTCAATTCGAATGTTGTTTCACACCTTTTCTTCGTTTCGTGGAACACAACATGAGAAATTCGGATGAATAATTTGGTCTGTTTTCCAAGCAAATTCCAATGAATCCATTTATAAGCTTCAAAAAGGATGTAAAAGCACCATAAAACTGTCATAAAATTGTTCCGTGTGACTCATGTGCTACTGTATATTCCAAGTCTGCTACGTCATACAATAGCTTTGTGTGAGGAACAGTCTGTTCTCGCTCAAGTTTGACCGAATGTCCGGTTCATGTACAATTCATTTATCTAGGCTGAATCAGTATTCTGAATTTGAATCAGTGATCTGAGTATTCCTGTAGCTCAATCAATAGAGCATAGCGCTAGCAAGGTCATGGGTTTAATTCCCAGGGAATGCATGAATGAAGTCAAATGTTGTATATCTTGATTTCAGTGCAAGTCATCTTGGATAAAAGCATCTGCCAAATGCGTAATTCTAAATGAATCATTCATGTAAATACTTTATTCACTAATCAGATTGATTCAGTCCCATTCAATTCAGTGACTCAGCACAGCAGTTAACAAATGACTTCATGTGTCTTGATTGTTTGTTTTTTTTTGTACTTTTGGAGCATCCCCTGGTCATAAACTGGACCAGTTTAATGACACTTTTATGTTTTTTGTCCATTTAGATGCTTGAAATCTCCAGTGCTCAGTCATTTTTACTGCATGAAGAAGAGCAACATTCTTCACATTTATGTTCCACGGAAAATAGAAAGTCATACAATTGAGTAAATGATGACAGAATGTTCATTTTTGGCTGAACTATTCCTTTAAGCACAAAGGTTCAAATAAGGCTACAGTGTCTGTAAAATGTTCTAAGACACAACCGGAAAGTACAGATAAGTTAGACGAGCTACTGCTCAGATATTTGGTTGTGTATGGACAGTTTGTGTGTAATCTAAAATGGGTATGAGCTGATCTTTTACTAAATTCTGAAATACGAGATGATGAGCAGTTTGGCTGCCTGTTTGAGTTTCGGAGGATTCTCTTCACTGCTCATGGAGGCTCTCCAAGCCCACGCACACACTTGTGTAGTTCAAGTTCAAGGCCTTTCACAATGCTAGAACACATCCCTGAGGGAACTCTCAGAGGATTCTAAGATAAAAGGTTTGACCAATGCAAAGCATCAAAGTTAACAAAAATGAAAGTCTGTAATGAAGCAGCACACTCCACTCATTTCATGAGCTTGTGAACACTGCTGGCAACGCAGGTGCCCATATTTCATGCGCATAAAATCTAATGTACCGTTGATAGTGCAAGTGTCATTTTAAAGGAATAATTCAGCCATACAGTTCCATACTGTGTGTGTATATATATATATATATATATATATATATATATATAATGTAAATAAATGAAAT